TTTATTTTATTATTTATTTTATGTTTCTCAAATAAAATAAAACAAATAACTTTCAAATATGAAAAAATTATTAATGTTAATGTAGTACTTTTATTATGTAACGCTCGGCCTTATCAGATGCATTACAATTATATTATTATAGAAAATAAATACAAACAGCATGTATAATAATTATACAAAATGTGTATTATATGATTTATAACAAAAGAGCTATAATAAAATTTACAAATCTGCATGAAGACTCAAAACTAATGATAAAACAGTTATTTGTCAAATGCAATACCCAACAACTGTGATCAGTATTTTTTTTTTTTAAGATTTAATAATTATAATTTTTTATATAAATGCATAAAAGGAAAAGTGAAATTTTTTAGATGCAGTCACCATCTCTTGTATCTTTTTTTTTGTTTTTTTTTTTGTAGTTCACTTACAATCATGTGCCGTATTTTTAAGCAAAGTAAGATATACAAAAAAAACAATAGGATTTGATCTCTAAAAAAATAAATAAAAAAATAAAAAAATAAATAATTTATTTGATTTATAACAAGACAGTTATAACAACTAAAAATTTATGTAAAAAAATAAAATATATATACCATACAGGATGGGCGCATTTTACATGTAAAAAAGAGGATGCAAAAATGTCTAAATCAAAAATGCCTAATAAAGAAAAGCTCATTAGTAAACTGCATGTAGTGCTGTTACATGCAATACTCAACAATCAAAATCAAACACATCACTGATCACTGACTAGAAATGCACTATAAACACCAGAATCGAAAGTGAAAACTATCATCTTTAAATCTGTAATCTCTAATTAGTGGAGATTAATGAAGATTTATGATGTTTTAATGAGTGCAGACTGGTAATATTCTACTGCATTTTTGGACGGATCAGTGATGGACTATTTTCCATTACAGCTGCCAAACCAAAAGATTATGTGTTGTATATGTGCAGTAACTTGTCAAAAATGGCAGTTTTTAATTTATCTGAGTGTACTGATGATGCATTGTGGGTATTTTAATAATTGAATAATGATCAACACAAACACACAGAGCATCTTACCTGTCCAGTGCTGTTCATCAGGACCTCCATCTTCTCCATGTACAGAGCTGAAATGTTGCCTTTTGAATCAAAGACACAAAAGATGAGTTTAGTTTTATATTAAACCTGATGTTGAATGTCAGTTTCTCACTCACTCATTTTCTTGATTACTATTTTGTCATGTTTTCTAATAAGAATATACAAGTCATGTGCAAAACTGAAAGAAAATGTAAAACATTCAAAGTAACAATTTGTCAATAGGGTAAAAAAAACGTTTAAATATTAAAATATTTTCTCTGAAAGAATTCATGTTAATATATTACTATTAGTATATTAATATATTTAAATAAATAAATAGCATGTGTACTAATTAAAAAAATGTGAACTATACGATGTGAATGACAAAATGTAAAATATTTAAACAAAATTACAATTTGTCAATAGCTTAAAAAACGTTTAAATATAATATTTTCTTTAAAAAAAGAATGAATGTTAATATATTACTATTAATAAATTTTTTATAAAAATAAATAAATAAACAAAAGAAAGAAAGAAATTGATCTGTAAAGTAAATCTGAAAGAAAACATAGCATGTATAATCATTTTTAAAAATGTGAATTATATATGAATGATAAAATACAAAATTCAAAAAAAGTAACCATTTGTCAATAGAGTAAAAAAAAGAATAAACTTTTAAATATTCAGATATTTCTCTGATATATATTTCTCTGAAAACAAGTATTTATGTTACTATATTACTACTATTACAAAAAATAAATATATAAAAAGCATGTATAAAAATTTGAAAAGAAATGTGAATGACATGATTTATAAAAAAGCTATAGTAAATGAAAATGTACCAGTCACCAATTAAAAATGCCTAACGAAGAAAAGCACATCAGGAAACTCTACTGTATGTTGCAGTGTTAAATGCAACATTAAATAATCAGAAATCAAACACAAAACATTTTCTTAATGAGTATTATGAGTTGTTTTCTAATAAGGATAGCAAAATCATGTGCATAATTGAAAGAAAATGTAAAACATTCAAACAAAGTAACAACTTATCAATAAAATTTCTTTTAAATATTAAGATATTTTCTCTGAAAACAAGCAATAATGTTAATCTATTATTATTATTGTAATATATCAATAGTAATAACATTAATAAAAATTTCATAAAGATTATATAAAAACTGATTATTTTTGGCACAAACACTTTTCTATCTGACTGTCTTCTTCACTCAGTCATCGTCTCACCGTCTGGAGGACTGCAGTGGCATCCGTACTGCGTGACCAGGTCTATGTTGAAGTCTGAGTTGATCGGATGATGGTGAGCCAGTTTGAGCATTTTCTTGAAGGAGAGTTCCAGGAAATGCTGCTTGTTTTTGGTCAAACTAAATATGACACATCAATACAGAAAGGAAGTATAAACTCTGTAGATTTACAGTCTGGGTTTGTGGATGGATCCCAATCCAAGCTGATGTTCAAACATCATTCTCTAACTAAATGTGAAACAGATAAGCTTTTGTATGCATCTGTGTGTACGTGACACCCACTTGCTGAAGTTAAAGAGCAGTCGCTCAAAGACGAGCACGGGTCCGGTGCTGCTCAGGATAGTCAGAGGTTGACCCGCAAACAGACAGAACACAACACCAGCCAACGCCGTCCCGACAAAACTCTCCAACACGCCCTGCACAGACAGACAAACACACAGATGTCAAGCGGAAAAACTAAAGCCAAGGCAGTGTATTTGAAGGCAATTTTTTAGTGAACTCTTATCAGATTTGAGCCCATATGTGACAACAGCTGCTTCTTGACGAGCACATTTCTGCCTGACGGTCAGATCTGAAAGCGCTTATTCAGACAAATGCCTGGAGTTTTCTCAGGTAAGCATCACTATTAAACTTAAGTGTGTAACTCGCATACAGTAAGAAAATCAATTTTCTGACAAGACATTTTCTGTTAAGTTTATGGGCATTTCCTTCAAGCCTCAAACACAACACAATACGATGTATAATTAAAATTATGAGTGAAACACCTGTAAAACAATTCATATGGAAAATCCCTTCGTATTAACACAGTACATTGGGCCTTATTCATACTGACTTTTTTAATAGTATAATGCATTATTACTATTATTATTATTATTAATAGAAGTTATATTAACAATAATAATAATTGACTTAATATTATAATTAATAATAATAATACTACATTTCAATTATATAATAAATAGAAATGAATGAATTATTATATTGTTGTTTTATTTTAATATATTTAATTTTTATTCATTTAGTGAACAATGAACCATTAAAATGATAAACAGCCTACAGATGGATGGGAAATGTATTATTAATGTGATTATTGTATTCATTCATTTATTGTATTAATTTAGAATAATCATCATAATAATAGTAATAATGCATTTAAAAATTAAATAATAATAATAATCTATTTAAATAAAATAAATAATAATAATAATAAAGCATTATTATTATATTTTAGTTTTATAATTATTATTATTATATTTTATTATTAAACTTTTTTTATTGTTTATTATTAATTCAATAATTCATTGAAACAATATATTTAAATAGGCCATAAATAATAATAATCTATTTAAACAGTAAATAATAATAATACTTAATAAAGTAACGGCTTTTTATCAATTGATTAATTAATTATTTATTAAACACTGATTTATTTTCTTGTTTTGCTCTCTCTACTGTTTCATAAACGCAATAACTGATAAATAATAATGATTTTACCCTTTTTTTACCATTTCTCGACTTAAACTGTCCAAAATCCAAAAACTCAAGGCTTGATAGTTCAGTTACTATCACAGCATATATAATTGTTTTTACATATTCAATATATTTACATATTTTCATCTTTAATGTTTTTTAAACATATGAGACAAAAAAAAAATCTATTCACCAACCTGCAACCTTCACCTAAAGCTTTAATATCTGAGGCAGGCTTTGTAGAGAAAGGCCAGAGGTCACGAGAAGGGACTTTTCCGACGTGTATTTACGTGATTTTATGTGTGTGTTAGTGTGTGTGTGTGCTCGTGTGTAATCTGAGGATATTTATAGCTGATCCTCCTTAGCCTGCGCCATATTCATGCACTGCTAAATATATGCGCAAACTCTCAGTCACTGCACATGTCTGAAAGTACAACGCACAATCCTGACACTATTTATACACACAGTTGTTCGAAGAAAAGTCACTCTCAGTATAGCACGGATCAAATCCCAACATGCAACATGTACATCTGTTTCCAAACAGCCGATCTAGGAGACACATGACATATATTTGACGTGACATGTTTAGTAATCAAGCAGCTATCTGTGGCCTTCAAATCCCCGGAGCCGTAAACACAATGTCAGCCAAATTTTATTTCCAGAAGCTCCCGAATAAACCTAGCTGAGCCAAACTGTCTGACACTAGTTCAGTACAAACTCACGACGGTCAGAAAAAGACTTGAAGTGTCAAACCTGCATGTTGTCAGTGGCGTCTCCCAGCAGCCCTCCGAAGGTGATGGCGTTTGTTACGGTTCCCAGGTAAATGAACAAGATGGCAGACAGAGACTGAATGTTGAGAGCGTCGTAAAAGTCACTCGCATAAAACGGGAGCTTCCTCTTGACGTCCAGAACGAGGCCGCCGCAAAACCTACGAGAGAAAGAGATCATTTTCTTACTGAAAAATGTTTTGGCAGGTAACCAAAAAAAACCAAAAAAACATTTGTTTTTCCTACACAATCGTATGGAAGCCCGTTTCCGCCACTGAATTAAAAATAAAACAAGGTAATTGTGACTTTTTATCTCACAATTCTGACTTTTTTTTTTCAGAATTGCGAGTTCATATCTCATAATTCTGACTTTATAACACACAATTGCGAGTTATAGTCAAAATTGCGAGTTATAAACTCAAAATTGCGAGAGAAAAGAAACTCAGAATTGTGACTTTATATCTCGAAATTCTGACTTTATTTCTCAGAATTGCAAGTTATAAAGTTGCAATTGTGAGAAAAAAAAGTCAGAATCGCAAGTTTATATCTCGCAATTCTAAGAAATAAAGTCAGAATTGCGAGATATAAAATCACAATTCTGACATTTTTTCTCGCAATTGCGAGTTCATATCTCGCAATTATGACTTTCTTTTTTTCTCACAATTGCGAGTTCATATCTCGCAATTATGACTTTATAGCTCGCAATTTTGAGAAAAAAAGTCATAATTGCGAGTTTATATCAAACAATTCTGAGGGGAAAAAAAGTCAGAATTGTGTGATAAAAAGTCGCAATTACCTTTTTTTATTTTATTTTTTTTTATTTAGTGGCAGAAATGGTCTTCCATAAAATTGTTCAAAATATTTTTTGGAAAGAAATTAATACTTTTATTCAGCAAATACAATTTAAATTGATCAAAAGTAACAGTAAAGACATTTATAATGTTACATTAGACTTTTATTTCAAACAAATGCTGTTCTTTTGAACTTTCTTTTCATCACAGAATCCTAATAATCCTACATTTTCAACATTAATAATCAAAAAAGTTTCTTGAGCAGCAAATCAGCATATTAGAATGATTTCTGAAGTATCATGTGACACTGAAGACTGGAGTAATGATGCTGAAAATTCAGCTTTGCATCACAGGAATAAATTAGATTTTATAATATATTCAAATTTAAAACGGTTATTTTAAATTGTAATAATATTTGACAATTTAACTGTTTTTACTGTATTTTTAATAAATACAGCCATGGTGAGCAGAAGAGACTTCTTTCAGAAAAATATTAAAAATCTTACCAAACCCAAACATATGAATGACCATGTAAATACAATAACTGCAATTTTCACAGTGCAGAAATAACAAAAAATCACTTGAACTGTGCTAGTAGTTAAACTAAGTGCTCATGAACATGTATTTGTGCTTATTCATATACCTACCTGCCAGTAAATTTGAGTTCATCGCCAACCGCGTGGCCACCGCCGCCGCCGCCTCCTGGACTCCCATCATGAGGAGCTCCGCCGTTCATCTGAAGACCTTCCCCTCCAGCAATAAAGTTTTTACTGAAAACACACACACATCTACTCAGGTTTTTGTTTTAATGTTACCCAATTTGATGATGCTGATTTCAAAAATATCAACAAAACAAAAGCAGTCAAATGTTAAATGTTTTGGTTTTAATGACAAATAGAAGTACTGCATGTATTGCAATGGAGTGGAAATCAGAATTAGGCATAAAATAATTTCTTCAGAATCATTAATAGATGTGAAAATCCTGAAATTGAACAAAGAGTTGTAATCTGGCTCAGATTCAGACAGGAATCGTGTCTCTGTATCAGTTTTTCTGCTGATTAAGGGATAAAACAAGACTTCATCACCTTACAAATGGTTGTCAAAAGCAAAAATGCTACAAAATGCATCATATTTTGTGAGAAAGGCTGACATGCACAAGCAAAACAGACACTATTTTTGGAACCAGAACCTCAAAATTAGTAACAAGCAAGTATTGGATTTCATTCAGCACATATAATGCAGGGCGGTGTGGTAAGTACCGTTTATCTGCAGACGGGATGGATTTAGGAGGTTCGATCCTGATATCAGGGTCCCATTCTCCTGGAGGAAGCACAATGACTTCATCCAGGAACTCATCAATGCCTGCCAGCAGGTCACCGCGGTCTTTCGCTTTATAAGCTATGTCATGAAACACCTGCAGGAGCCGAAAGCACACAGCGTTAGGCCACAGTTCACATATCACCGGAGGAACACATGCTAACACTGTTAGCATGCAAATAAACACACCTCATCAGACATGAGCGTGGCGATGGCACGTCCGATCTCATGGTATGATTTGGCCTTTCCTTTGGGCCCCAGCAGAATAAAAAGGAACCTACAAATACAAATAGATACTGTTATTACTATAGTAATGGATTTATGAATTGCACAGCTTTAAAGGAACACTTCACACAAAAATGATAATTTGCTGAAAATGTACTCACCCTCAGGTCATCCAAGATATAGATTAGCTTTTTTTTTTCTTCATCAGATTTGGATAAATTTAGCATCACATCACTTGCTCACCAGTGGATCCTCTGCAGTGAATGGGTGCCGTCAGAATGAGAGTCCAAACAGCTGATTAAAACATGACAATAATCCTCAAGTAATCCACACCACTCCAGTCCATCAGTTAATGTCTTGTGAAGTGAAAAGCTGCGTGTTTGTGAGAAGCAAATCCATCATTAAGGTGTTTTTAACTTCAAAACCATTGCTTCCTGCTAAAATACAGGTCATCGACTGATAACATTGCTTTCTCTACTGAAAAAGTCGTCTCGTCTGAATCAGGAGAGAAATATGCACAGATCAAGCACCGTTTACAAGCCAAAAAAAGTCCAAAGCAGTTACAAATACAACTATGTCAAAGTATTTTGATGTGAGAGGACAACAGGGGATGGACTAACACTTCCCCTGGAGGAAGTGTTATGGATTATGGACTATATTTTGGATAGAAGCGACGGTTTGAAGATAAAAACGTCTTAATGAAGGATTTGTTTTATTACAAACACACAGCTTTTTACTTCACAAGACATTAATTGATTGTCTGGAGTGGTGTGGATTACTTGAGGATTATTGTGATGTTTTTATCAGCTGTTTGGACTCTCATTCTGACGGCACCCATTCACTGCAGAGCATCCACTGGTGATCAAGTGATGTAATGCTACATTTCTCCAAATCTGATGAAGAAACAAACCCATCTACATCTTGGATGGCCTGAGGGTGAGTACATTTTCTGTAAATTTCCATTTTTGGGTGAACTATTCCTTTAATTACGGGTGAGCATGTTACCGTGTGGGAACAGGAACCTCGGTGAGTCCTCCTAACATGACGGCCTGCTGAAGACGCACAAATGCCACGAAGGGAGCGTCCAGAAAGTCCACCTCGCCGACCAGCACGTTTGACGCTTCTGCATCCCGTGGAACCTTCTTCATGAACTTATTATTCAACTAGAAAGAGAAACCATAAGAAAAAGTCACTAAATTAACTTGGTTAATAACAGGATAATAAATTGCTTGTGATGTTACTCATTCATAAATCACTTTGGATAAAAGCATCTGCTAAAAGACTAAATGTAAAGGCTATAAAACAATGACAACAGCCATATAAAAAGATAAAGAAATTATCGGAATAAACAAATTGAAATATTTAATATAGTAGCGTAACTGTAGGCTGTTAAATAAATCAATAAATATTTTAATATTTCAAAAATATTAAATATTCATGTATTTAAAATTACAATTATTTTTTGGTTTTAATATTTTCAGGTTTCGTTTTTTTTTTGTAATTTTGTTATGTGTATTTGATATTTTTTATGAGTTTTTGTTTCTGTCAAATATTTCTATTTCTACTTTATTTTAATTACAGTTTTAATTTTAGTAATTTCAATACTTCAACTTATGTTGTTTTTACATTTTAATTAAATTTTTGTTTACGCTTTTCATCTAATATTTATATTTACATTATCTCCGCTTTATATCAAATAATAAAAATGATTTGTAATAGTTTAATGTTTTATGTAACAATAACAACACTTTTCCAGACTCTTAATTTTAATGCATGCAGTAATATTTCTGTTGCATGCAGTCAGTTACCACAGAAAATAAATCATTTTGTAAAGCATAAAGTAACACATTTACAATGGAAGCATAAAGTTATTCAGCATATCTCACTATATATTATATGCTCTGACACATATTCAAATCTACTGTCTATTCCTTTCACATAAACACCATAAAAACAGAAAAAGCTACAACCAAGTACAATGATTTAATAAAGCATTTATCAAAAGAAGCAATAAGTTTCTTTATGAGATCATATTTATGAGGTCATATTTCAGTGGAATATAAAAGTCTGATAAGATTCAAGCAGTGTGCAAAGAAACAAGCTCACAACTAGCATAAACAAAAGCACTTCATTAGCGATAAACACTGGGATGACATACAGCCTGAACACACACAGACACAAGAGGCCTTGTGTGTGTGTGTGTGTGTGTGTGTAATGTTTGCGGTTTGGCTGATTTTCATCTGAGGTTATCAGTATAATTACTGCAGTAGTGTGAATTATACACAACAAGAGCTCTGTGCGATTGCCAAGGCTCTCCCGCTAATCCACAAATATTGACGCAACTGACGACAGCGGCTCAGTTTTGTCCTCGTGTGAAAGAGAGCCACTGAGTTTCAATTGTGTGCTACTGTGTTTGAAAAGGAGTTTCTTTTGTCCTTTTGCACTCATTCCCATCCTAGAGATGTCACACCCAGGGCTGAAGTCTTCCTAACCAAACTTCCCACCAGAGAAACAGGCATCAATCGTGTCTGGATATGAACGCTTGGTGGGAGAATCACACAAAACCTGATAAAAACACACCTGGCTCATATACAGTATCACTACAAAATACCACAAACCTGTCAAGAAAATGAAGCCTATTTTAAAACCATTAAGACATTACTTTCATTGCAATTAAGCACATTTGCCAATGATTCTCATTAGCATAATGCAAAAAAAAAAATTTGTTAAATTACGAAGCATGTATATTTTTATTTATTATAATATTAATTTAAATATCATTATTATAGGTGTTGTTGTTGTTATTTAAAATATTATATATAATAATATATCATTATAAAAGTAGTTTGAAGGCTAAATACCAAAATATAGTGGAGAACACTAACTTACATAACTGAGTTTAATTAAAAATCATGAAAAAATATAGGAAAATAATTAAAAATAAAATACAAAATACATAGAAATAAAAGAAGTATTATATTATAAATAATAAAATATATTATAGAAATATTATATATTTGTAATAATTGTTATCATATATATTAAATTATAATATTTTAAATAATTTAAATTTACATTATTATATTATTACATTGTCAAGCATTTATATATCATGGTAGTATTTGCTGATTTAATTTTTTTTTTTTAATAATTAAACAAATCTAATGAGAATAACCACTGAGAATAATAGGATTTATATTTATTTATATTATTATATTTATTAAAAAAAAAAAAGTAAAATGTCTGTATACACTGTAAAAAATGTCATGTTTAATTCAATGTGTGGCTTGCAGATTCTTTGTAAATATTTCTGAAATTTACTAACCATTTCTGAGTGAAAATTCAACATCTAATTAATTAATTCATTGTGTATCAGTAATTATATATTATATAAATATCTTATGTATGTATATATATATATATATTTTTTTTTTTTTCATGAGATCCACCCTGGACCAGTAATATTCTTCTTGCACATGTGGCTAAACTGTTAACACACATACATTTGCACAGAAACACACTTCACAGTACCTGGTCTTTCTCAGGTTTGTCTGAGAGATCGTTCAGGCTGTTGGAGGTCAGGTTACGATGCGCCGTGGTCGGACTACCTGTAGAGGTCACACAAGGTCGAAGGTTAAACATTGATCAGTTGCTCAAATGCTAAAACACTTTGTGGAAAACACAGAAACATCTACATCTCAATAGATTCATTTAGTAACTTTAGTTATTGTGCACATACAAAATTATTCATTTCTGTCTTTATCTGCAGATTTACAGTAGACTAGAGCTGCTCTTTTAAAGAGACTACAGGACAGACTACAGGATAATTCTCCATCTCTAGACTCACAGAGGAGCAAATCTAGCATGAATCAGTCTGAATCTTCAGCTACAGACTTACAGAGAAGTCCCATGCTGTTGCTTCTCTGCATCTGAATTTGCTCGTCAGGATCAAAGTTGGCAAAGCAAGGCACAGAGTGATCGAGAGGACTGCGCGCTTCACGCACACACACACACACACAGAAAGACAGGAAGACAGAGCGCATGCATGCCAATCAAGACACGTGGGAGGGACGAGAGACAGGGAAGAGAGAAAAGAAAGCATTAGAGCAGAGAAATCCAGTACAAATCTGCTTCAAAGAGCTGATTCAGAATTCAATTGGAGCATTAAATAAAAATGTAAATAGACATCATTTAGGAAAGCCAAGCACAGTTTGAAAAGAAGACAACAAAATCTTGTGAGAGAACAGAATATTTCTGAAACAGGAGAAACCTGGGGAAGCTTCGCAACGGCTGCTTTGAATCTAAGCTATACATATTTATAAATAATATATTTACACATTATTTTAAAAAAATCTTGAAAATTAAAAAAGAAATCATGAATATTAATAAATAGTTCAAGTTGAACTTAAATATTTGAATAAGTTAAATATCTGAATTTAATTAAAAATTATTTAAAATGTTGAAAAATAAAATAAAAAACAAAATTAAATTAAATTAAAAATTAAATAAAATATTAAATAAAATTCTAATGAACTTTCTTCCTTTTCATGAGAGTGGTTCATTTGTATAAAAAAAAAATCCACAACAATTCCCTAAATAAAAAGGATTTCAAATGCCATGCGTTTGCACAAGAGCGCATTTGATTATTCCCTCTGTTTGCATGTGCAGTACTTTAAAGACAGCCTTTTAGCATTATAACAAATACCTTGTTTCTAGAAAAAGCTACAATATAATGAAAACATCAGATCTATTGTCACGCTACATTTCTTGACATTCAGGCAACATTTCTAGAACTAGTTTCTAGTTCTTCAACATTAAAGTCAAAACAAGACACATTTCCTTTTTATAATGAGATGTTTTTCCATGTAATGAATCTGATGGTGAAATGCGTCTCTATACGGTAGCTGGGGGGAGGGGCTAAAAATAAGGCCTTGATGATGTCAGCAGAAAAGGAAAGTCATTTCAAAAGCAAAGTTTTTGATGGAGGATTATGATAACAAACATGTTGTTCTTTAAATAATGTGAACCAAAGAATCACAATAAGACCAAGTGCATTAACAAAGAAAAAAGGCTCAGTTTTGATTTCATGTTGAATTTAAGTTAGCTAGCTAACATGTATCAAAAAGTATCAAAAGTATCAAAAGTATCAACATGTTACTTTTATTTAGAAAAAGACTCTATCAGGAATTTCAGAAGTCAAAACATCTTCAGCATTAACATGTCTGGGGGTTTCTAAAGGTTTCTAGTTCATCCTGGGAGGGTCTGAGGTTTGACTGCTGTGAAAATATCAAAACCAACTGCATCTCATCAGCACATTTGATCACTTGTGAATTTGAAACATCAAAGTATTGCCAATTTTGCAATGTGCAAATCTGCTTGTTATTTTACCCACAAGGCATCTGCTATGAATGCAACCTCTTGTAAACCGAGCGAGAGACGCTGCTGATGGACGGATGATAGATGCTGGTGGTGAAAGCGAGAGGAGAGATGTGGAAAGCGATAGAGTGTAAGAGAGAGGGTTAATGTGGCAGCTGTGTTACCGTTCTCCTGGCTGCTGAACAGACGACTTGCACTCGACACGCTTTTGCCGATGTCTGCCAGCGAACGCAGGTTGGACTTCTTGGTCTGGTGGCGATGTTTCCGCAGCAGAGTGTACATGACCATCTCCTTCAGATCGGCCTTTAGCTGCCCGCTCTCAATCTGACTGTCAGTGATCATTTCTGAAAGACAGAGACTCTCATCAGGCATCTACTGGTGCTTTAAGCAGGGTTTCTGATGATTTCCGGTTTAAAGCAGCTTTTATTAAATTACATTTATGACCAAATAAAGGAAAAAATGGAATGTAAAATAAATAGGAATAAATGGAAGGGGACACAATGATATGTTATTAAACTTAAAAAATAATATAAAAAAATAAAATTAAAATAAATTTAGCACTTAACTAAGAATTTTGCTACAAGAAGGAAGACAAAATTCCAATTATTCTTCATTTTTTTGCACATTTATTTCACTAAAACAAAAATAAATCATAAATACTTTTTTAAAAAACTGTAGAAAACACAAATTTATATAAGTGAGTTTAATTTAAAAAAATGTAATTCTAGGAAAATAATTACAAATTATTAAAAATTTTGAAAAATAAAAGTACTTAACTAAGAATTTCGCTACGACGAAGAAAGACATAAAAATGCCAATTATTCTTTTTTCCTTTTGGTTTGCAAATTTATTTTACACTAAAAAATAAAATAAAAAAAACAGTAGAAAACACTCTAATTTACATAATTGAGTTTAATTAAAAATAACAAATGATAAAAAATATAAATTTCAATTTTGTTTGAAATAAAAGTCTAATGTAACATTATAAATGTCTTTACTGTTACTTTTGATCAATTTAAATTGTATTTGCTGAATAAAAGTATTAATTTCTTTCCAAAAAATATTTTGAACAATTGTATGGAAGACCAATTTTTATCATTTGTTCAATACAAATATTGAAAAAAAAGTTTATCATTGAATAATTTCACTTCAAGAAAGATGCTAAAAATGCCACTTCATCTTTTTTCATTTTTATGGGACTATTTCATTTATATGAACAACCTGAAACAACTGATTCCCTAAAATATTAAATAAAAAGTTTTTTTTTATTGATTATTTCCTCAGCTTGCTTGACTGTAAACTTGCATGTATAGTGAGTTAAAAATATGTCATGTATGTAATTGTCATTTTTTAAGACCTGCAAAAACCCAGTTTAAGGAACCTAGAAACTAAAACACTGGTTTGAATATTTTTTTAACCTCTAAAGAACCCCATACAGCCATAAATGGTTCTTGAAGAACCTTTATTTCTAAGAGTGCTGGATCATGTGCTGAAGAGCAGTTTTACCGACGATCTGCTGAAGTGAGTTGGCCTCCATGTCCAGCTTGATGGTTCCTTTCTCGATGCAGTTTTTCAGCTGGAAGAGTGAGTGTAGAGACAGTGTGGCTACATGAGGTTTACTCCACCGTTCTCCACCCTTCTCCACCTTCTCCTCAAACTTTATCCATCTGAGAAAAACACACACAACACACATAAACGTACTGACAGCAACTAAACAATATTTAAAGCACTGAAGTGACTTCCGTTCACTTTTTAAAAATACCATGAAAATACCATGTTTTTGGGGCATGTACCACATGATAATGTCATGTTTTCTGATGTGTACATTGGGAATATCACCTCTTTTGAACATTTAGCATCATAATACCATGCATTTTGGGCATGCACCATTATAATACCACGGTTTTACCATGGTGCAGATGAAAACGTTTTTGGCATGTTCTATGGTAAAGCCATGTTTCTATGTTAATTTTGGTCATCTACTATGGTGTACCATTCTTTGAAGTATGATTTTCTGAATGTTTTTTGAAAGAAATTAATATTTGTATTTAGCAAAGATGCATTAAACTGATCAAAAGTGACAGTAAAAACATTTATAATGTTACAAAAGATTTCTATCTCAAATAAATGCTTTTTTAACTTTCTATTTATCAAAGAATCCTGAAATATTTAGTTTTCACAAAAACATGAAACGGCACAACTGTTTTCAACATTGATAATAATCAGAAATGTTTCTTGAGCAGCAAATCAGCATATTAGAATGATTTCTGAAGATCATGTGACACTGAAGACTGGAGGAATGATGCTGGAAATCCAGCTTTGATCACAGGAATAAATTACATTTGAAACCATATTCAAATAGAACACAGTTATTTTTAATTGTAATAACATTTCACAATATTACTGATTTTACTGTGTTTTTGATCAAATAAATGCAGCCTCGGTGAGAAGAAGAGACTCTTTCAAAAACATTTAAAAATCTTACCGACCCAAAACTTGAACAGTGATTTACATGAATACTGTAAACATTGATTATCATGCTTTTACCATCTCTGTACCATAGTACCACCACAGTAATGTTTTGTAATGTATTTTATGCTTGCAATGACATATGCATAGTATAACACATTTTATGAAGACCTTATATTTGCCTTTCTGCCAACTAACTGAAAGCTTTCTGATGTAAAAAAGAATGAAAATGATTCAAAGCTTCTTAAAGCTCTGCTGCCGTGTTATCAGTTTACCCATGTCTGCTTGAGCGAGCATCTGTCTCAGAGAAACAATACCTAAGCACACAGATATCCTTTAGAGCTCTGTAATCTTGTGCAGAAAGGCTGTTGAGCTGAGTTTAGCCAAGCGTGCGTATGGCATTCGAGACAAAAGTGATACACGCACACACACACACACACACACACACACACAGCGGCCTGTGGTTTTGATATGTTACCTGAGACACAGGTGAACCCAGAAACCCATGAGGACTCTGGGAACTCTAGCTTTGTGCATCCACACACATGCACACGTGTTAAACACAGGGCTCTTTGTTTGCAAATGGATTCATTTTTAACATGATCCATGTAGCTCTTAACATGTAAATCTGGAACATGCAAATCCAAAGAAAGAAAGAGTATATAGTCGCTGCATGAAAGGAGCACCATTTGCACCATCAAATGTTTGTCCACAGCATTTGATGACGTGAACTAAACACAAAAACCTGCTATTGACTGTTATGTGCACTTAAATTGAAAATTAATCTAAAACATATTCAATTAAATATAGTATTTTATGCTGCATTTGCATTTTAATTTGATGTATTTGCATGTCTGTGCAATTTATCAAAAAATAATTAAATAACTATAAATAAAACAAAACAGGATAATCTATCCATGTGAGTTTTTATCACTATTTCCCTCAAAACAATAAGTGAAATGTTAGTTTAAATAAAGAAAGAAAGAAAGAAATCTGTCATGATAAAATGTGCACTGGTTTTCACTTCATTTCGAATGCTTGTTCTACTAACATTTAACATTGGTCATTTATTTTTCACGTTGGACAAGATTAGTCAAATATAACATATCCAAATCATGTTCCACCCTGTCGATTATGAATTTTAAAAAATCAACTTTAGAAAATGTCACCCGTTTCATAGAATGATGCATAAACATGATTTAACTGTTAAATAAAAGTTTCATTTAGACTCAATCACTAGTTAGCAAGACCTATGTGTGTGTGTTTATGTGTGTGCTGGTCAGTCGATATGTTCACGACAGGAAAAGACCTGCAGCTCATCCGTCACTCAATACACACAGGAAATCAAAACTACTTGGACCAGATGAAAGCTGCTTTGTCTGCTAGCTCTCACGTCTTTCCCCGGTTGCTTTGTCTCTCTTGCTATTTGAACCAAACTGGCCCAAGATCAACCGTATAACTCAGCCAGAATAGTAAATAATCACAATTTCCAGTTTGGAATGTGGGTCAATCTCAATCTCAAATGTGAGAGTAAAAAGTAGTTTTTTGGTGGAGCGTACTATTCCTGAAAGTGATGAAAAAATGTTAGCATGCACCTCTCCGTTAGATCACATGCATTTTGCTTTTGTGTTATTTGTTGCGGATTTCTGCTTGACCCTTATCCTGGAGTGCAAACGCTTATCTAATAGCATACGTGAGCGGCGCATGCAGTCAGGAATGTGTGAAATCCTAAGAACAGTCAAGTGGCACACCAAAATCATGAGCACCTGGCAAATGACGCGAGTGTTGTTTTAGCAGAGGTCTCCCCCCTTGAAGCCTGCGTTTCTGACCTACATATCCGTCTGAGGACAAAACAGCTGAAAAAAAATATTGGCTGAAGTTAGCCGAGATCTGGAAATAATTTTTGGTGAACTGAACTGAACAGGGACAGTTTTGTCTGCTGTTGAGCTTTTTATAGCTGAATCTAATTTGTTCTTAGTTGACACATTTTGCTTTATTGAATCGAATCAACACTGAACTGACTGGAGCTGAATAAGGACAATTTTCTTCAGTAGAGCTGCTTATAGCTGAACCGGATTCGTTCATAATGAATGAATTTACACTGGTATTGAACTGAACTGAATCAAAACTGAATTGACTCAAGCTGAATAACGACTCAATTGTCTTTCAGAGCTGCTTTACAGCAGAAATTGAATTTGTCTCATATTTGACGAAGTTTATTCCATATTAAAGCGCTATAAATGTGATTTAACTGTTTCTGCAATAGAAAGATATGAACCGTAAAAGCAGCATGATAACATGATATTCTGAATTAAGACAAGCTTGCATCCCAATTTGCTTATATTTGGCCTAAATAGTATGCGAGATTAGAATTTTTTAATACTAAGGAACAATGTGTGAAAAATATTTTTCTTCTCCTATGACAGTGGAAGATTGACAGTTTACATTGCAGGGGTCATGCTATAGATTTATTATTATTATTTTAATATGTTCCTTGAGGTTCACTTATAATAAAGGTTAATAAAGGTTTTTGCACAATATTTATATTAGGGCAGCGTATTGACACAAACTTCACGATTCGATTCTGATTCACAAGCTTGCAAGTCAATTCAATATTGATTATTTTGGATGTATATTAGGTACAGTACATGGCAAATTTTCTTAAGGATTTGTAAAATATACATGGAAGTCTACTGAAGGTTAAAATTAACTCATTAACTGAATACAAAAACTGATGAAACTCGATGAAGTTTTTATAATAATAAAGTTATTATACTAACTTTACAATTACATAATTATATTTCTACTCCAATTCATCTTTTGAAATATAAACATTTAAATTTGATTTAAAAATAAATTAAACCCAGCCCTTATACATACAGACATATATATATATATATATATATGTGTGTGTACAGTATCTCACAGAAGTGAGCATTTTTGTGAATATTTTATTATATCTTTTCATGTGACAACACTGAAGAAATTACACTTTGCTACAATGTAAAGTAGTGAGTGTACAGCTTGTATAACAGAGTAAATTTGTTGTCCCCTCAAAATAACTCAACACACAGCCATTAAAATCAAACACACCTGAACCAGCTAATCAAGGTGTTCAGGGTTGCTTGATAATTACAGACAGGTGTGCTGGAGCAGGGTTGGAACTAAAGTCTGCAGGACGGTAGCTCTCCAGGAGCAGGGTTGGACACCCCTGCTGTATATGTAACCCTGGACCACAAAACCAGTCATTTTTTTAAGGTAGAAAATTAACAAAATATCTTCATGGAACATGATCTTTACTTGATATCCTAATGATTTTTGGCATAAAAGAAAAATC